TGTTTGTATCTTCTTTTGTTTGTTAATTTAAAATAAAGATTGGCCCCGGAGGATGCTAAGGAGTTTAGCGAAACGTAGGGCAAAGCAGTAAAGAAAAAACGTTGTTTTTACTTGCACTAATCACCAACTAGGCCAAAGAAGCTCACCAAAATTAATAAAATTTAGTCAAATTTAACGTTTACTCAATAAGCATTCGTTGCTGCTGATAGTGAGCTGCGCAACAATAACCTCAGCTTATCTGCCGCCATTCAATTAGTTTGCGCTCGCCGCTTGACCTGCTAGCGACGATGGGTAATCTGCGTTCGCTGCGACATTTAGCGATATTTTGTATTTTGGCCAATGGCTGGGTTTTTGTCCTACTTTCGGAGTTGCCTACGCTACGTAGCTTCACGCCGCTTGCGGAACGCGTGCGCGCTTACGAAACTTTGCGCGCCAACATATTGGAGAAGGAGATAAGCGCACAACTCGGCGGCGGCGTGCTGCTCAATTCCAAAGAAAGCGCGCTCAATGAACTGATCATGCTGGAGAAGAGACGCGAATTGGAGCTGGGTTTGACAAATTTGAGCCAATTTCAAGCGGCACAACACTTTTTTCGCTCAAATGAGAAAATCAACAAAACGCCACTCTTTCAGCTGTTGCGCGGTATGCCGAAAGGCGGCGTTTTGCATGCGCATGATATGGCGCTGTGTAGCAGTGAATACCTGCTGCGCCTAACATATCGTGAGCACTTGTGGGTTTGTGTTTCGCGCAGTCAGACAAAAGAGTACGAGCGGCTGCGATTCTCTTTGTTGCGGCCGCAGAGCGAGCAGCCGTGCGAATGGTTGCTTTTGAGCGACTTACGAGGGAGTGAGCGTGGCGATGTTGTTGATAAGAAATTATTAGCGCAATTGACTATGTATCCGCAAGTGCAGTTCGACAATGAGGATGCGGTTTGGAAGCATTTTCGTAGCATATTTCGACTTGTTATCGGGCTGTTGACCTATGCGCCCGTATGGGAGGAGTACATCTACAGGGCGCTGGAGGAATTTTACGCAGATGGCGTGCAATATTTGGAAATACGTTCCGTATTACCAATAGTAAGTGCGCTCAAGTTAAACTGTGCGTTTGTGCCAATTGTAGTAATATACACTTTTTCGGCAGTTTTACGACCTAGTTGGTGGCAACTATACCATACTGAATACGACGCGCGCAATGCGCAATGCGGAATTACGTTTCCGCGCAACACATTCGGACTGGATTGGTTCGCGCCTGATCTATGCGCCTACGCGAAAAGTTAGCGACGCTCGCTTAGTCGAGTATCTCGGCAATGCGCTGTTGTTGAAGGTTGGTAAATTGTGTGATTTTAATCGAACACCGTCACGCTTTCGTTCAAGCAACTAACTTCTCTCTTACCCCCACTTGCAGTCCCACTTCCCCGACTACCTTGCCGGCTTCGACTTGGTTGGCTATGAGGCCGAGGGTCGCCCATTGCGTGATTATGCTCGCGAGCTTCTCGCTGTACAAGATGATATCAACTTCTATTTTCATGCTGGCGAAACCAATTGGTATGGCTCAAGCATCGATGAAAATCTACTCGACGCTGTGCTACTCGGCACTAAGCGCATTGGTCATGGCCTGGCGCTGCTTAAGCATCCCGAGGTGTTGCGTTTGGCGCGTTTGCGAAATATTGCCATCGAAGTGAGTCCGATATCAAATCAAGTGTTGCAATATGTTGGCGATTTGCGTACTCATCCCGCTGCGGTGCTGTTTGCGCAAAATTATCCAGTTGTGATCGCTTCGGATGATCCATCATTTTGGAAGGCTACGCCGCTAACACATGACTTCTATGTGGCATTTATGGTGATTGGCTCGCAGAAGGCAGATCTTGGCATGCTAAAGCAGTTGGCTTCGAACTCGATTACATATGGGGCATTTGAACAGGCTCAGCGGGAGAAAGCCTTTGAAAAATGGAATAAAAGATGGGAGAAATGGATTGACGATGTCCTGAGGTAGACGACAGGATGCGAATAAAAATGTTTGTGTATTTTCTAGTTTGAAAATTTACAATTTTCTCTGATGATTAAGAATAAAATTGTAGGGAGTTGTTTTGGTAAAACATTGCATTCTTTATTTGGTAGGGATGATAGAGATATTGAGGTGGAAGTTAAATTTTTTGCAACTTAAAAAGTCGAGAGTCTAGTCAACACAATGGAAACTGGCGAAAATTGCCCAAAGTGCTGAAAATAGTTATACAAGTAGTCGCTAAAGCATTCTCCGTCGCGTGAAAATGTTCTTTTGCTTACTTACAATACCATGAATTTTACTATTTTTGAGTCTGATAGTTGTTATTGTTCTTGAAATAAGTGTTCTCATGGTAACTAATCATATTCTAGAAGACTGCCCAATGAAATCAATATGAAATGAGGGGATCTTCGGGGTCACTTGGAGGCCCACAAGCCATTTACGAACGATATAATGCTACCAAAATTATCCTTTGACAATCCCTACAAGGTCCGAATTCCTAAAAGTGACTGCTGTGAAGCGATAATATATCCAATGTAACAGTGGAAGAGGGGAGTATTGAGGCAGGCGTAATTGGAGCAAGATACCAGAAAAGTCTGCCAATCCAATGGGCTCACACAAAACCATGTTCCAGGCCGAAGTCATCGCAATCGATGTCTGTGGTAGAAATGTCTTCATAGAAGAACAAATGGGGCCAGAATAAATATTATGTCCGACAGTTGGAAAACTCCTTTGAACCGCCGTTTGAAGGCAACCAAATGGCTGACTACCTCGCAAATCATGGAGTTCAAATGCGCTTACATGGTCTCGAACTTTTCTGTATCACATCTTAAGAGTAAACTGCAGCACTACTTAAGAGCTGAGAAGAATCTCAGATTACTGCCCTCTGGCGGAAGTAAAGGGGTCTGAGACAATCAAAAAAATTATAACTAACTCCAGGAGGAACTCTGAAAGCCGCCTTGAACTTAGCCGGGATGGTTTTAGAGCAGACTGCCTAAGAGGACACTGCAAGTTATGGTACCATTTTCATAAAATGGGATTTTCTGTAGAAACGGACTGCATATTTTGTGGGCAGCTGGATGAAACTTCAGAACATATTCTATGTTACTTCCCACGTTTAATGAATCGCAGACTGACAAGCCTAAAATTTGGAACATGGTATACTCCAATGTGGTGAATTTCTTAAATATTTAGCTATTTACAGAGCTAGCAGCTATTAAAGAATGAGTTAAATGGCTGCTCAACTGCATGAAATCGATAGAAGTGTTAAATACATGTGCATTAAGTTGTATCACTCTCTATACAAAAAGAAAACAAAAATTGGTACTGTTTCTAATACTTTAAATTTTTCGCCAAAATATTTCGGAAAAATATTCAGCCTTATCATGCGTTTCATTTTCCCCGGCCCGTTTCACTTTTCACCTTTGGATGACAAATTTTCGGGAGAATTTTTTCCAGGCGAAACTCAGGATAAGGCTGATTAAAAACTATGTGAGCTGAACCTCAGCATTTTCTAAACGGAATCCAAATAATGAGATTTTTGGAAGTATTTTCAAATCGGTCCAGCTCACATAAGTCTACATATTTCTTGGAAATATTTTGGCGGAAGTCTTATAAAATGAATTTAATAATTCCGGTGAGAAAATCGCAAGTATTTTCTTTTTGTGATACACCTTAATGTAAATTAGACCAAGTAAAAAAAATCCTGCAATGCGGCCAGAACCTGAGTCAAATTTTAGTACTCCTTGAATCCCCTTTCGCTACGATAATTATAAGAGCTGCCGCATCACTAAACCGCAACTGTCAATCGTAAATAATATTTAAGTTGTTTACAAAATTATCGGTTTAATCCTCCTACTAAGCACATGCCTTCTGCTTAGCACATGTTAAAGATTAACAATTTCGAACACTACTTTAATCATAAGGAAGCACTTTGTGAATAAAATCGAAACAAATAGAACTAAACTTTATCTTATCGCCTATTGAAATTCTTTGCTTTCCCCCGAATATTTATTATTGGCACTTGAAAACGAATACTTAGAATATGCGCTACCGCCGATTAGCGATCATAAAAGTAATCTAAATATTACGTAACAATGAAAACACTCACGAATTTCATTCACTTGCAGATCAACAACAGCAGCGAAACACTGTCCGTTCGTTTTTCTTTCGCCACGTTCTCAGTTTGCGTTTGATCGGCGTTCCAACTGGACACAGCTCAGTGATAAACGGCTCACGTGACCAACATACATACGCACCATTATTTCTGATCGACATTCGCTACCAAAATGTTTAACTTTACGCATTTTGCCTTCGTTGCGTGGTGCCTGCTGAGTGTTGTTTTGGCGCGCACCCATAAACGCAGCCAGTTGGCTGCTTCACATTTGGCCGCCTATTTGCCTGATAGTAGTTTACGCAGCAGTCGTCCGACACCGGACGCTTACGATGCCGAACGTAATCTATTCTTTCGCTATGAGGAATCCAAGGGGCTGGGCGCCGAAATTGAGTTGAACGAACAAGAATTGCTTGCCAATAAGATTATTATGGCAGCAAAGACCTACGAGTATGAGGAGGGTCTCATCACGCCGCACCTCTTCAAGCCATCAAAACATTTCTTCAGCGTTTTGGAAGACATCACTAAGACGCCGCTATTCGCTTACTTGCATGCAATGCCGAAGGGTGGCGTGTTGCATGCGCACGATACCGCCATGTGTAGCACTGATTTTGTAATACAACTAACCTACCGAGAGAATTTGTGGGCGTGTCAGCGTAGTGGTGCATTGGAAGCGGTCGATTTGCATTTTGCCAAGAAAAAGCCAACACATGTGGTGGAAGGTGAAAATTGTGCGTGGACACTTTTGGCGGAAATGCGTGATAGGCATGGCGCTGCAGCGGTGGATGAATATTTGCGTGAACGCTTTACATTATATCCGAAAGAGAAATTCCTTGATAACAATGAGGCTTGGGAGGAGTTTATGGAAATCTTTACATTGTTGGATGGTTTGGTTACCTATGCACCTGTGTGGGCGGACTACTATTACAATGCGTTGAAGGAGTACCGTGCCGATGGCGTACAGTATTTGGAGTTCCGTAGCACATTGCCAAGGGTAAGTTGAGCGATATTGTGGTATACGAATTTTTGGTGTGAGGTAAGGTTAGGTTAATTAGCTGTTACCATTTTATCACTAGGCACCTGATGTAGATCACACTTTAAGTAGACTTTTAGTAGATAATGTTTAGGTGTTATCGCTTTTAGCGAATATAAGGAAATCTGGGACCACAATCTACCACCTCCTTGATGGCGGCTATTTCCTCCTGAAGGACACAACAGATATCCGGAAGCCTGAGGACAATTTTGTTGAAGAGCTCCCGGCAAAACACATCTGCACCAACTCTGCCACTACGTTTTGATCTGTCCGTGAAGAAGTTCACAGCTACCTTCTTTGAGTAACCCCGTCCCCCAGTCCTCTTTTGAGGGAATGTACGTAGGTAGAGAGGAGCTGGGGTGTTGTTTTGAAATCACAGTTTGCAATTTAACCTGAAAAGCAAAAAGAAAACAAAACATGAATTAAAGAACTTCCTAACAGACCTGGGTTACATTTGATTTCCATTGTCAGCAGAACAAAATACCAATAACTTCTGCAGCACCGCAGTCGTTTAATCTTTGTTTAGCCAGTGGTAAATGAAATAGGGCATTCTTGAAAAGTTTTATGAGATAGAGCGTTTTCGAACTGGCTGCCGAGATAGGTCGATCTTCCACTCAGCCATCGATATGCTTTTTTTGCTATAAACTCGCCAACGACCTTCTTTACTGAAATCTTATAGTGGCTTCATATCCAGCAAGGCGTTAGAATTTTCTGTCAATAGCAAACATTCCGAGGCCCCTTTAAATTTTGCGCTTTATGTACAGATATTAAAAACTTTCCACTTTTTTCATTCCAGCTCTATGACTTGGAAGATAACGAGTACACCGAGCTGGACACTGTGCGCATTTATAAGGAAACCTTGGAAAAATTCATGCAAGATTACCCAGACTTCATCGGATCGAAACTGATCTATGCGCCGATACGTAATACAAGCCCAACACAAGTTGAGGAGTATATACGTATCTGCATTGAAATAAAGGTTCGAAATAATATCAATGCAGTTAACATTACTTTTACTACGCAACAAGTTAACCTTTCCATACACTTTCAGGTTAAATACCCCGATTTCATTGCTGGTTTCGACTTGGTTGGCCAGGAAGAGCTTGGACGCCCACTTAAAGATTTCATACCGCAATTATTAAGCATGCCTGCTGATATCGATTTTTACTTTCATGCCGGTGAGACGAATTGGTATGGTTCCGATGTTGATGAAAATCTAATCGATGCAGTGCTGCTCGGTACAAAGCGTATCGGTCATGGCTTCGCGCTCACCAAACATCCGCTCGTATTGCAGGCGTTGAAGGAGCGCAACATACCCGTCGAAATCAATCCCATTTCCAATCAGGTGTTACAACTCGTCAGCGACTATCGCAATCATCCCTGTTCACACTTTTTCGCTAACAATTACACAGTTGTGATCTCATCGGATGATCCATCGTTTTGGCGCGCCACACCGCTCTCACACGATTTCTATATTGCATTCTTGGGCATCGCTTCGGCGCATGCCGATATGCGTTTGCTAAAGAAGTTGGCGATCAATTCGTTGGTCTACAGCGCATTGAGTGAGGAGCAGAAGAAGGCGGCACTGCAGAAGTGGCAAGAAAAGTGGAATGTGTTCATTGAAAATACTACAAATGGTGGTGAAAATGGTGCTGCCTATCTGCGACTGCAGACGAATCGGATCGCCTGACTAGCACGGATGGTGGCGGCGTTCATATTGTTGCCTGGTGTATTCATGCGTTTGATGGGTAGGCGGTGAGAGTTGCTATGCTGTGGGTAGTGTAGCAGGAGTAGTAGGTGAAGCGCATGAGTAGCGGCAGCAATAATAGCGTCAGTCGGGCTTGAAAATTATAAGGACTTGTTTTCACTATGGAAAATTCTGAGTTATCGCTCTTCAAATAAGAAAGCATGAAATGAGCTAGTGAAAACCAGCCTTAGAGACAGGTTCACAATATCAGCTTGGAGTTAAGAATGCTTTTTATTGAATGTTCTACGGTTTACATATCTGTTTGGAGTGAAATTCTGGTCATAGTTGGGAATAAGTAAATTGACTAGTTACAAGCTGATATTGTAAACAGAAGAACATTCAGTAAAAATCACTCTTAACTTCAAGCTGAAATTGTAAACTCTACATAAGGTTTTTATATTCACAAGGGAAGAGTGTTTGGGCACAAACATGTCATGACAAATCTGAATTGAAGCGGAGGAATTCAATTGAATTTGCTTATTTATTTGAGGGCTTTTAAATCCCTTTTAGGCTTTAACAATAGGTATTAAGCTGACATTCCTATTTAACCCATTCACTACCATGGAAACAGTGATACATTCAAATAACACTCAGACATTGACAAGACACCAGCACACACAAAGAAATCCCAAGTACAGCAAAATGCGTAAAAAATTACTAACCTGGTCAACATCCCTTTATATTTTTTTATGTGCCGGTGCAATACTTTACATAATCAGCTAGTTTAGGCTAATTTTTTGAGTAATTAATTTATTATTACACCGGGCGACAGTAAATTTTACACACACACAATTTTATATATTCGCGAAACCATGGGCCAAATATAGTAAAACTGCGTTTTTAGTTTTCTCTCTCTGACATCAGGATTTTTTTGAAGGGCTTTGAAATTTAATAAATATAACTATTAAAAGTAATTATTAAAAAAATTCAGTACAATGTAGAAATACAGTATGCCTATCAGATTAAAGGGGAAATTCTGTAGAATTAAAGCCGTTAAAATTGTTTGGTCCTTTTCACATTTTATCATGGAAAATCCTGGAAATCCTCGAGTGTCGTCCTTCTAACATTATTCGAACACTATGTAAATACATAAACAATACTGGAAGGCTATTTGAACCATACGTTATCCGAAACTTTTTACCGATACTGGGAAGATAGTGAAGGGGTTAACTAAAAACATCAAAACACCGGGTATAGATATCAATATGTGTAGATAATATCCAAATTAAAATTTTTTTTGAAGATTTAAAATCACTAGCAATAAGAACCAATATTCATATTTCTTATATATAAAATATAAAATATTTTTAGTTCATTTTGCATTTTTGCAACTTTAGCTCGCAAGGAAAAGGGACCTTCGGTTCGAAAAAATAAAAATAAAACAAGTAAGGAAGTATAAGTAGTCTATAAAAGTCTTACTTATTGTTAAGAGATTGTTGTAAATATTAACCTGGAAATATCGGAGTTTTCGTATATCCAAAAATTACCGTTATACGAGAAACTGGTGCAATTTTAGTCCGATTTAAATAATTTTCACCGAATTCCTTTTTCGTAGTAAGGTTATTAAATGCACGAAGTTTGGCAGAAAGTGATAAATCGATTACGGAAATACACATTTGCGGTCATAAGTGAACGGCGCCACGCCCAAAATCCAAAAATTTATAAAAATCTAATTTTCTGCGCAGTGGTCATTGCAATAATCGATTTTGAGTCAATAAGCTTCAGTAGTTACTGATTGGTCGCAGTTTTCGTGTTTCTGTAAACTACCGTTATATGTTAGGTGGGCATAGTTATTACTCGATTTCAAAGATTTTCAACAAATCTCTTAGCTAGACCCTAAGCAAGGCTCGTGCGCGAGTTTGGTAAGGACTGCTGAAGCGGTTACAAAGTTATAGTATTTCATCATAAGAGGGAGGGATCACGCCCCTTTTTCAAACATCTCATAATAATATTATTTTTAAACCAAAATTCTACCTCACATAGTAATATTCAACAATTTGGATTCAATATTTACTAAAATATCATAGTTTTTGCATTTTTCGAAAATACCGTTATATGAGAAGGGGCGTGGTTACAGCCCGATTTCGCCCATTTTCAAAAGCAACATACCTTGGATAAAGGGCAACCTGTATAACAAATTTCGTTAAGATATCTCAATTTTTGCTCGAGTTATCGTGTACACGGACAGACGGAGGGACGGACGGACGGTCCGACAGTCAGACTTTTCATTCTGATCATTTATGTATACATTTGTCTATTTCTATCTCGATTTCTTTAGGCTGTTACAAACAACCGTTATGTGAACTCGGGTATACAAATTAAAGAAAACGACTTTGAAGTTAAAAAGTGAATTTTATTAAATTTTGTGTCAATCTTTGAAGTAAATTTATAAAAACTAATGCAGCTGAAAGGCTGCTGGTTGAAGCACTAAAAAGAGGAATTTTTTGTAGACCATATGTCCGCTCTAGCTTTCCCTGTTACATAGATATGTATGCTTTATCCAAAAATCATCTCTATCGGTAAAGAGTAAGGAACGAAATAAACGTCTAAACATATTAGCTTTATTCTGTTAACTTAATATTCCACTTTTAATAGTAGTCTGGCAAAAGTTTGTAAAGTAATTTTTATTTGGAATTTGGCGTGCTTCCTTCAAATGCACAATAAGCGATTAGCCAAATTCAATATCTGTGTTGAATAGGTTGATCGGGTGCTTATATATATATATATATATTGAATTTACTAAATAAATAAGTGTCGTAGTGTCTTAAACTGGTAAAAGTTTGCCAAGCAAAATAACGGTCAAATTGGTTTAAGTGACGCGCTAAGTCTGATAAAAGCTAATTATATATGTATTTACAATCAGTTCAAAAACCATTTGGCGTAGTTAGAAACTCGCTGAAATTACTTTAAATGTTATTTTAAGTTTAGAAAATTTTACGATTTTAAGACATTATATGCATAAATATTTAACTGTGTAATTACCATATATGTACATAGTATCCCCTTTTAAAACAAATAGATTTATATGAATTAATAAAACATATAGATATATTCTTACATATACGTAAATTCTCTTGTTGTATTATAGTTGAATAACAGCTTTTTTTATTAACAGAAAATAACTAAAAATAAAAACTTACATAATTCCAAAGGATTTTTAATTAACCAAAGTTGTGTTATTAATTTTGTTGGACGTATGAAAACTATACCAAGCGATTATTCAGTAGTAGTACAAGATCAAATGATTTGAGTATTTCATAAAAAATACGGCTCCTTTTTTTTGTTTGGGTGTAAAGCTGGCTTTGCACGGGTGGGGATTCTAGTTGATTTTGATTTTTGTCGTTAAACCAAATTGGCTAGCCGATTTCTCAGCCGATTTTCCAGTCGAAAAAAATCGACCCATGTAAAGCCAGCTTAAGGTTGTTGGCTCAGTGATTTGCGTAAATTAATGCCTCTCGGTAGAATGCAGCAAAACCAGATTCCGGTTTGTGTGAAAGCCTTAATAACTAAAAATAACTTTACAAAAACTCAAAATCTTCATTTGCGATTTTTTTCTTTAAATTAATTTTTAATAATAAAAGAATCTTATTTTATTGATTTGATTTTTATTATTTTTTTCCAGTTTCACGAAAAAAATTTCAGTGAAAAACAACTTATTTTATTTGAATTTAATACGAAAACTGACATGGAAAAAACATATATTTTTCTCTTTAATTGCTGATGAAACTGGCCTCTGAGTAATATGTATATCGACTTTAGTAAGTTTCGAAAGAAAATCAGTTCGGGACTTTCTATACATACTGAGGTAACGGTCTGCCAGTTACGCAGACTCCGGAGCATGCGAAATGGCATTAAATGTTGTAAAAAATATAACCTTTCACATTTTAGCAACCGAAAATTGAAAATTGTAGGAAATTTACAATAATGAGCTAATAAAGAAGAGGGGTAAATTCGGACCTTGCTTTTTCCGTGGCAGAGTCACAGAAGCGACATAGGTCGATTGAACGTATTCCCTTACTATACAAGTGACCTCTTAGACTAAAATGGCCGGTCAAAGAGCATGTACGGATTCTTAATTTCTCCTAAGGGACGCCCATGAGTAGTCGTTTTTCAGAAAAGGCAAAATAAAATAGCGAAAAAATCACTAGGTATTGCAAAAAAGGCAAAAAAAGGCAAAATAAAATAGCGAAAAAGGCAGGAAAAGGCAAAAAAAAAAGGTATTGCAAAAAAATCAAAATAAGGCACTAAAAAAAGACAGAAAATACGAAGAACAATCAAAATATAAATTTATTTTAGAAATGTTTATGTTACAAGTAAAAAGAGAAAAACTATGAACTACATAGTTTCATTATATGAAAAATTTTTACTTCGAGTCTTTGACTATTTTCTCATTTCGAGTTTCTAACTAATAAAACTTTAATCTGTATAGTTGTAGTAACATTGAACCACAAGATGCATTTTGAAGTTTTCTGGCAGCATTTTTATCCGATTTTCGCGAAGAAAAGCCTTGAATGTACTAAATGTGCGCTCGACGTAAGTTGATACAATTGGAGCCCAATTTAAATATGGAACGTTTGGAACGTTCATATTATCAGGAATAAGGGCGTTTTCCTCGCCCTTTACAATTTTACCCACACCCTTTATTGTCTTCAAGCCTACGGCTTTGAATTTTTTCAACACCAATTTGGCAAGAGGTCCCTGCGCTTCTATAAGCCGCATTGTAAATGCTATAATCACTTTTTTAAAGGTAGAAAAGGCAAAAAAAGGCAAATATCTTAAAAAAGGCAAAAAAAGGCAAATATATTAAAAAAGGCAAAAAAGGCAACATCAAATGTGTATATATGAAATCAGGGAAAGCTAAATCGTGGACATTCTTAATCGAATATGCTCTATCTCTTTAGCAGAAAAAAGGCAATTTCCATAAAATCCGTTCCCTGCTTATAACTTTTACGATGATCTGATTGGTGCACTAATTGGACTCGGTTTATTGACGTTTCCGAAGAGAAGAAGTCCTTAGAAGCATTCCTAATGTTGGCTTCTGGGGAGGACTGTGCTATTTTTCGACTTTGCTCCAGATTATGATAACGCTATGGCCTACAAA